TGGGCCATTTTGAACACAGATCCATTTTTGGAAGTGCTGTACAAAATGACTGAGTGGCCCAACAGGGAGCCTGTAGTGTTTTGTTCTATGAGCTGCATGGGTACTGTGGATTAGTTTGGGGTTTTGCTGGTTGGTTTTCTTTTTTCTTTCCTGAAGTAGGTGTTGGAATATTAAAAGTATGGTAGGTTTTGCATATGGGATAGATTCCCATTTTCAGAAATCCAGGTGCATTGTAATGGTTTTTTATGGTAGTACTAGTAATTGAAAGCACAGTCTTTTTCTGTCTTGACTTCCATGGTGCTAATAGTTTGGGTCTTACTAGTCAAAAAAAATGAAAACCACCAATTTATGTACAGAGGAACAGGGTACTTGAGTGGATGCTGAAACACCCTCCTACTACCACCACTTTTATTAAATACGTAAATTAGATGTCCATGCTTTGAATTAGAAATAGATGAGTGTAATGAAGCAGTGACTTTAACTGAATTGATTGCTCTGCAGTTTTAATGCAAGATGCGATGTCAGACTGCGGTCAGTATTCTTGTGTCTGTGTATACTAGAAAAATTAGCTTTGTACTGCTGATAGGTAAACTTGAAGGACAGACTATCAGGAGTTAAACAAATTTCTAATAGGGTAGTAGTCTCAAATCTACCTAATTGTCCAAGAGAAATACCATTTCCAAAAGAAAAAACAGTAGTTCACTCTGAAAAAGTATGTAGATTCCTTTTTTTCCCCCCTTGCAAATGCTGTACTTTAAAAGAATAATTTTCTTGTAATGACTCTATTTTTTCATTTATACACTAACTTATTTGGATTGTTTTTCATTACTAAATCATAGTTGCTTGAAACCATTCTAACATGATTTGATTATTTTTATGTCCCTCTTAAAGTTTTGAATTCTCTCAATTTGCATAGCTGCATCATCTATTTTGATAGAAATTTCAGGAGCAAACAGTTTCAGGCAGGATTTGAAATGGACTGGAACAGACTGTTGAATGAATGCAATACTATTTAATATATGGATATCACTTTAAAACAGCTGACTTGTTTGGTTCTTTAGGTGGAAGTAAATGGTTACCAAGTTCTTAGAACTGTTTGGAATCTTAATCATGTTATGACGGTTATTAAACAGTTGAATTGGACCTTTATTTTTTAGCTGTAAAATTTAGTAGGTTTTTTTTAAGCGTGTACTGTCTTTGAAGGAATTATGAGTAAGCTGAATTTTTTGCTATCTTCCATCATCTTGCTTTTCAGATTGAGATCAGTCAGCTGTTTAGTAAATAACAAAATTCTGCATGTAAATTTAAATGAGAAAAATGTGGGAGTTTTGAAGTTGATGAAAATACTCATACTGAGGACTCCACATTTCTAGAAGAAAGGGGGTGCTACATATTAGACTGTTAGAGCCTGGAACTTAGCCGGTTTAGACATTCATCACCCCTTTTCTACAACAGAAAAGCAGATAGAATTATTTTCAGTCCTCCCTCCCCCATTTCCTGCCCTTCCTGTTCTTTCTGCTGATACAGGCTTCTGCTGTAAAATATCTTCAAATAAACCACAGCAGCTAAGATAATGATTTGATAGACGGTTTTCCGCTTCAGAAATGAGCACAATTTTCTGTGTCTTTGAAACACAATTGTGAGAATATTTTGGGAATTATTAAAGTCTTAGTTGACTCTTAAATAAGTAGTAATTTGATCTGTTTTGTTTTGGAGAAGAAAAGTCAGGGAAAATAATGTTTTGGACTGGTGTCAGCACGCTCAGGGCCTTTCATTTTCATTTGCTCTGTGGTGGGTGTTTCTTATTTGTTTAAGATTTGTTGTTGTTTTGGTTTGGTTTGGTTTTTTTAGGTCAAGGCGCTAGTGATAGATTTCATCATGGTTGGATTTATGGGGTTTTTTTCCTTTTATTTTAGACAAATTTTGCCAATGAAATGCTTCAATATTTAAAATTGTCTGGATTGGGGAAATAGTTTTGTATGACTTTTTTCCTCTAACTATTTTGAGAGAACTGAATTGATCTTTTCAGATATTGTCTTTGATTAGTACCTATTGAACCCATACACTTAATAGTTATTTTGAACACAGCTCGAATCACTACTTTTGACTGCAAAATTTGTTCTTTAAGGTCATTTCTGGTGGCATATGACTTTTTTCCTCTAACTATTTTGAGAGAACTGAATTGATCTTTTCAGTTGTCTTGGATTAGTACCTATTGAACCCATACAGTTAATAGTTATTTTGAACACAGCTAGAATCACTACTTTTGACTGCAACATTTGTTCTTTAAGGTCATTTCTGGTGGCGGAGTAGGAAGTCGTTTACCTGTTTGAGGAAGAGAACTGGCTCTGAGAATATAATAGCTTTTAGGTGTTTCTACCATCACGGGCAAAACGTGGAAAAAGCAGGCAGACATTTTGGCTTTTTCCGTAGTGGCAGTCACCGGAGAATTATGATTGAGTACATTACGATTTGTTGTCTCAACAACAAACAAACGACAAAACAAACCATGCTCCCCTCCCACTCCCCCCCCCTCCCCACTCCAGCCCGAGGCGGGGGGGGGAAAGCCCAAGCTGGAAAGAAAAAAAAAAAATCCCGCCCAAATCCAGTTCTCTGGAGGCTGCTGAAGGATCCCTGTACTTGATTTGGGGTCGGCTGCGAGCCCTGTGCGCGGCAGACAGAGGCTGCCGCCGGTCCGGGGCTCGGCCCCTCTGCCCTGCCGAACCGCGCTGCTGCATTTCTAACTCCCTAATCAGTGGCTCCTCCTCTCTGTGAAAACGTTTTGTGTTTGAAACTGAGCTTTGTCATAGCCAGTGGTGTGAGAGGGAGGAAGGCACAGCCAGGGGGTGCGGGTGACTCTGCCCGAACGTTCTGGAAGCGGGGTGGTGCTTCCCGCAGACTGCAGATGCAGCGCTCGCCCGCGGGGGCTGCCGGCAAGTTCAGGCATGGACTTGCCAGAGCGGACTGGAGCCTGGAACAGAAAATGCTCCAAGGCTCTTATTTTTACAGCGTGTTTTACTGTGTTAAGAACAATACTGTTAATTCAGGTACTTGTGCATAATGCAGTAGAGCTGGGGGGAGGGTAGTAACACGGTTGTATTTGGGAAATCTAAGATTTTTTTTTTTTAAGCAGCACTGGTGCCCTTTCTTTTTAAGCTCAGAAGCTGTTAATCCGATGATTCATTCTGCAAATGACAACAGAATCGCTGAAAGATGTATTTTGCATGCGCTTAGATGCGCTAGCATGCATAAATCAGTCTGAAAGTACTGCAAATCAAAAGATAGAGCTAAAATAAAAGGGATGTTAGTGATTGTCACTTTAAAGTGACAGGAATTCTGGAAAAATAATTAGCTTTCCCTTACAAATCACTCTGGTGTTTTGGATGCAAAAGTTGAGGATAAATTATAACAACAAGTTAGGAATACTTTGCATTGCTAAGTATTTTCAGATACAAAAATAGTATCTTGTTGACATTACAGATGAGCATATTATGTTATGCTCAAATAACCTGGAACCAGTGATAATGAACAAATTATGCTTGCAGCAGAAAATGGGACATACAATTTGACTGTATATAGCCTTGACACTGTTAAAAAGGAACAATGCAGGGAACAAGAGGAGGCCAGGGGTGTAAAGCAGGCCCTCTTGGTCCTGAGATGCTCTGCCATGTTCAGATTAATAAGCATCCCTGTCTCCTTTGCTTTGCTTTTTCACTAAATGGTGCCAGGCTGCAACTACAGCTGCCTATTGCTAAATGTGTAGCTAGCCAAACTTGTTTTTATTTAAGGTTTCACAAATTTATGTTTACAGCTAGTATAATAATGTACCTATTTGCATTGGCTCTTTCATACCCTAAGAGTTCTTGCAAGGCGGCAGGTGAGGAGGGATGATGTATTTGCAAATTAATCATCCTTTATACACATACTCATTCTTAAAGCCTGGCTTCTTTTTTCTTTTCCCCCTAAAAAGTACAGTGATTTTTGGAACAGACGTTTTTCAAATGTAACCTATTCATTTATTTAACTGGACTTTGACTGGAAGAAAAAAGGTAAGAATTTTAAAATTAGGTATTACAAGTCAAAGTAAGGCTGAAATCCCAGCTTCTGCCACTGTACCTTAGAGATACTTGAAAAAAATAATTATGCTTGAGAGATTTTTTTTCTTTCCCTCCTACACCTAACTAATTAAGAAAAAGTTAAATGTGAAATAGAGACAAAAAATTAAATGGCCAGACATGTTACTTGTCAGTATTAGGTTAAAAAAATTGTCTTACTTGGCACTAACATTTATTTCTTGATGGAAATCTGCAAAATACTGGAAATATTAGGTTAAGACAACCTGGTTGTTGAGCATAGTGTAATTTTTCTGCTGTTATTTCTCTTACTAGACAATAACTGTGAACAGTGCGTGTAACATCCTATTTGAAACAGACTGCAAGGTGAAATTTATTTTGCAGACACCATTGTCAATTTTCATTTATATGAACAATGAGAGCAGCACTTGACTTCTGACATGGATCTGGATTATTAGTAAGCAAATACCTAGAAAGGTATATTCTAGAACCCGTGGGGAGGGGCAAGGCTTTGCTCAGTAATATCCTGCTGCAATTTAATCTTGAAATCAGGCCCCTTTATGTAAATTTTTACTGGCGCCAGCTAGCTGTAACTGCAGTCTGGCTCCGTGTCGGCAGCAGCTAACATGTGTCATGGACTTCTTCACACAGGCTGCAGGAGCACTCTGGTTTCCAGACAGAAAAAGCAGCACTGATGAATATGAAAAGATGTACAAAGGAATCTAGGTGTAATTAGATTGCTAGTAAGTGAAAATTCTGAGGGAATTTCAGCTTTCTTGTTTTTTGGGTTTTTTTTCCCCAGTGTGCTGTCTTGCGCTGTGCTGTAATAAATCTTTGCCTGTTGGTACTACTGTGTGGTATGTGGGAGGTACTTCACTGCACATAGTTGCTGCAGCACTAATAGTTGGCAGCACAGAAGGCAGCACAAAGAGTACAACTGGAGGCACTTGCAGTTGCAACAGTTTCCTTAGAGGCTGTGGCATGCTCAGTGAGCTGCAGGGGCACTCTGACGCATTCAGCTACTATGTGGAGAAGTAGAAATTCCAGCACGCTTTAACGAACAGATGTAGGCTACTAGCTGAGAGGTGTAACAGCATAGCTCAGGCTGGCTGAAAACCAGTACTCATGCTGCTGTGTAAACAAAACAAGATCTTAGTATCAAGATGGCCGACCTGGAAGTCTACTTGTAGCTCATAATACTTAGGTAAATGAGCTGCATGTCAGTGGCTTACTCAGAGGAGAAAGCTCATTTTGCACGTGCCATCTTCTCACCAGGTAAGAGAATCAACTAATTTTCTAATTCATGTTTTAGAGGACTTGGAAGTTAATTTTTCATTTAGGTCCTACCCCCCCACTTTGGCACAATGCCAGGAATTAAATTTCAATGCAAGTGGCATTTTCTGATAAACCCAAAAGTCATTTGTTGTGGTTGTAATTATATTGGAGCTGCTGTGTTTAGGGGGAATGTTACCCAGACATTATTGTAGACTATTTACTTTAGTAAAACTAAGTAGTTAAAAAATATTCAAAATTTCAATGTGTAGTTTTTGTTGGTAATGTTGCTGCTTTTGTTTGATTCATACCTCTACTGTTTTGCTAGTGTGTTATTTTTGTCTCTATAGTGACACTGGTTGATGCACATGGAGGTTTAACAATAGTGAGAGCTTACCCTGGAGGGGGTGCAGAGTTGACAAAGTTGAATCCACCAATTGTGTTTGGCTTTGTGGTGTTATGAAGGATCTTTGTTATCCTGGTTGTAGCTTGAATTTTCTTGTTGAGATTGCAAAGCTGTTAAAGCAGTTAGATACTGAACTGTTGTCCATGTATTTTTTAGTATATATACCTTCTTAAATGCCTATATATACACCTTACTAAAAGCTGCAAGAGGGGAACTAGATCAGAATATGGTGTATTTATGATCTCTCCCCTTGAGAAGACAATAATTTTGCCTTAAAGCAGGAAATTTTAACATAATTGAAGTATTGCTAATTACATAATATGCTCTCTTGTGGTTATGCATGTAGCGCATGAAATGGCTGCATGGGGCAGATGTGCTAGTTCTGCACAAATACATTTGTGTTGTTTCTGTTTTACAAGTTGAAGTAATGACAGCATGGAAGACTGGGAGGGAGAGATGGTAGGAGAAAATTAGTTGAAATGGTCACTGACCTAGAGAAAAGAGATAATTGGAGATGCATAAACAAGCCAACAAAACATGGCCTCTTAAAGGCAGTCATCAGCTCAAGATAGGGATGTGGAACTGGAAGTAGGCCTGTTTTGGTTGAAGGAAAAATAAGATCAGTTGAAGAGAATTCAACTAGAGAGGTAGAAGGACAAAGTAAGCAAGTCAAATTATTACAGTTTAAAACAGCAGTGATAGATATTGAAAGCATGGGAGGCATTCTGAAATGGCCTGGGAATTAAGGTCGATAGAGTAAATATGCTAGGAAGGAGAACCATAACTTGTTGATACTGTGGAAGAAAATTTAACGGTAATAGAGAAAGGTAAACTTTTACATTCGTATGGCCGAGAAAAATGATGTATGCCTACAATGGTAGATGGCTGAGCTGCAGTTTGTAGATAGCTCACACACTTTGAAACCTTTGATAACTTTTTAGTGCTAACTGAAGGTTTGATGTGGACGGAATTTTGCTTGTCCGCTTACATGCGTGTCTGACCTACAAAAAGTACAAAAATGGGTGTGTGTGTGTGAGAGAGTACAAACACAGGTGTATGGTTACATACATTACACTAGAAACCTTTAACGCCTATAAAGTTTTCCATAAATGTCAAATTCCATTAGAACCAGTCTTGCTTTCCTTGCTGTATGAAGGAAGCAGTTTTAGCGCGCCTCCCTCTTTTCTGTGAAGTGTGAGTGTTAGTATGGTACAGGAGAAATGGCATTGAGTGGGGCATGAAAAATGTAGAAAACTGATTAAAATAAAATGTTCCTGAGAGGAAAACCTTGACTGGTAAAGCAAACAATAACAAATGTGATATTTCTTAAGAATTGAGAATTCTAACAGTAATGTAGGTGATAATAACAAAATCATAGTGAAAGAAAAATATATATATCACAGTAAATGTTTTGCATTGTTTTAGATGAAAGTGAGATAATATTATAAGGTCATGTAGACAACTTAACTTTTTGAAATGTTGATATTAAAGGTTACATGATAGATATTTCTTAGCAAAGGTTATAATGAGGTCTTTGTAATCTCCATCCAGGAGTTTTAAAAGAATTGGCTAGGAAATCTGAGATGTCCCTCCCAGTAACTCAGTATAAAGTTGGAATTGTGGAAGACCCTGAAGACTTTTGAAAAGGTCTGGAGAAAAAGAATGGAGGATTAACAGTGTGTCAGTAGATGTGAGAGAATATTATTTCAGTCAATGCTGAGGTCATTTAATTGCTGAAACACTATTATAAAAAGGATATCCTAATTAAATTGTTTTAGAACAAAATTATTTGGTGTAAATACCCAGTATCTGTAATGCACTTACTCTTTGATACTCCTTAAATAACAACTTCCCTCCCCAAATCCTGTATCGATAAGATATTAAATTGATTTTTAAAGCTTTTGAAGGGGAGAGGGTAGCAATCATGCTCCAAGTAGAGTTTATGATTGGCATTGTGAAATAGTTACTTTTTGTTAACTTAGAGGGGATGGAAAGATTGACTCTTACAGAGTCATCAGGATAATTTGCTTAGTGAGACCCAAACACCATTTATTAGATTTATTAAATTCTATGTGTTACCCTTGCACACCAAAATCTGATTTATACATCTGTATACATCCAGCACAAAACATATTTGCTTGACAGGACACTGTCCTGGGAGTAAGAGGGGATCACACAGACAAAATAGATTGCTAAAGCCCAAAATAAACAGGTAATGCGGAGGGACTGAAATTCTGTAGCATACAGAGAAAGAGTAAGGAAGTCGTACTCTTTATAAAGTTATGTTCCTGGATGATACTAAATGCTGATGATGTGAATTATGCCTCAATACAGGTTGCAGTCCTGTTGTCTGTATTGGTTTTTTACAGTGCTGAAAAATTAGGAGGGGTCCCGGCAAAAAGCACAAGAATGATTATGACCTGGTCATATTCACCTTGGGGCTATATAAATAAAATAGTTTTATGGTTGCAAATGCAAGTCCAGGAGAGGTGATCATGCATACAAATTCATCAGGAGAGTCTGTAGTTAGTCTGAAAAATTATCAGGAAACAGTTCAGCTATGCTATGTGCCAGCACATGAAGAAGGGATGTATAATGACTCTTCTTTAATTCAAGGAGAAATCTAGCCTTTGATTTTTTGGATGAGGTGAAACTGCAGCCTGTCCTTTCCAGGAAGCAAGCAAGCGTGTTGGCTTGCTGGGTCACCTGGCAAGAGACGGACTGTGGACAAGTGTTCCTTCTGATGTTAAAGGTTTCTGGGCAGAACCTTTCTGGAAGTTGACTTACAGCAAACCTTAAATGGTCAAAATTCAAGATGCTTTCATTTGTGTCTTTTACACATTTTATCAATGGAAGCATTTTTAAGTATAATTCTTATTGTCTGCTTCTGGCTTCTATCTCTGGGTCACATTTGGGAAACTTTTGGGCAAGAAAAATTAAGGTTTTTTTTAAATGGTCACTCTGAGTGACTGTGCAGATGCATTTTTCTCCATATGATATTTTATGAAATTTGGGAAGGCAAGCAGTCTAAAATAGCTGTATAAATTCTTTATGTACTTCAGTGTTTCTGAAATGGTATTACTGGATTGCTGCTTCATCGGCTGTTTTTCCCGCTCATAAAACAGTAAAATAAAGGATCTTTTTTTTGTAGAACTGCTTTGAGCTTTTCACTGAAGAAGTCTTTTCCAGACCAAGTACTACCAACTCATGAATGCATTGGACAGTATCACTACAGCCTGGTCACTGTTTTTGGGACCAGGATCAAAAAATTTTTACATACTGTTCTGGCAAAATCATTGCCAAATAATGAATCAGTAGAGGTAAACTTGCAACTCCTTTTTTTGGTATTGTATTATATTATATGTGAATCCTAGTTTGATGTTCTGTGCAGACTATCAATGCTTCATGTATTTGTAATATTGTTTTCTTTATTTTTGAAAATTTGCATTAGCAAGCAAAACAATGACATCATCACTGGAAGAAGTGTGTTCTGCTTTTTATCACTTCCAACCTTTCCACTTAGGAATGCAACACTGGAGTTGGAGACAGCTCTAGACCTGGTTTTTCTGGTGTCCTAAACAGATCATGTATCTAGGTGCATTTCATTAGTTCACTGAGTTAGTGTGTATGATGTCACTAGTCAGCATGAACAAAACATTGCTGGCTGACTTCAGTCCACACGTTTGCTGCCAGCAACCATGCAGAGGTGATGGTGTTGAGTAACTGCAAAGTGGGGCTTATGGTGGCTTTGAAAAGAATTCATCAGGGAAAAAAAAACCAACAAAAACTGTCATCCTAGATGTGAAGTTTAAACCTGGGAAAGCCTTCCAGAATTACTTGTAAGCCTCATTGAGGTCATTTACAGACATAAGAAACACTTTGGGAAGTGTAAGTTGATCGCATTTGAGACCTGTAGCTTCTTAATCTAAAAGACAAAGGTCTTTATGGACTAGATGGAACATCTCTGCAGTCTTCCTTTGTATTTTGCCATTGTGTCCTCTGAGAAACCTAGCATGAGAACTTGCTGAGTGCTGTGGACAAAGAACACTTTGTGTATCTTTTTCCTGCTTTCTTCTTCAAGGATCTTAGACTAAGAAATCAAGGAAACACAAAGATTAATTCTTCCATTGTTACAGAAAAGAAATGTCTTCAGACTACAGATTTTAATTTCAGTTTCTTATGTTTACAAGTCCATATTCCTTTGTAATATTAACAACAAGCTGTAATTCACAGAAAATACTTCAGATTTCTTGTACTAGGATTTTGCTACAGATGTGGCTGTTGACATTTGGTCATCCCACAGCACAAAAAATAAATAGTACTTAGCAGCTAAAGTGATACAGCACTTGCTAATTGACTCCCTTTTATTAAGATTCATACTGCAAGATGAGAAAGTCCAATAGCTGGGTTGCTTTTAGATAATTGGTTTTTTACTCTACATCTTGGAGACTTCTGTGTAACATTACGTTTGTCATCTCCTATTTCAAATGGGTAATTAAGCACTTGCTTTTTCTCCCATTATTGTAAGGTAATGATTTGAAGAACTGTTGCCTGAAGTGCATGCATGCTTCCACTTAGTATTTCATAAAAACAACTA